CAGGGAGATGGGAGGGACCAAGGAACAGCATCTGTCCTCAAGATTGGCAAATCATGGAATAGTGGAAAAGGTAACTTTACCCAGGGAGTGTGAATTGAAACTCCCTGCTTTACCATACATAAAATGTATCGTTCTCTCATACTTTGAAAGTAAGTAAAATAATTTTCTTAATTTTGCTTCCATATATAAAGAATACTGTTGATGAAGGTAAATTCGGATTACAAATCTGTAAACTGAATTGGACGATGATAATACAGATTTAAACGTGTCTGATGGGTGGTACTAGGAGTGGTGTGAGTGAGATTACTGTCACTCGCGTGCAACTTGTCCTCAAAACGGTGTAGTTAGCACGCTCTCAAATTGAACTTCTACCCTCAGGCGATCCTATTCTCTCTCTCTCTCTCTCTCTTTCTTCTCTTCCCTCTCCTCTCCAGTGGAATTCGGAAACCACCAAGCAGCCCCATTTTGGCCCAATTGTTTCCACTGACACGGTCATGGAAGGTCAAAGGAGAAAACAAGATTCTGGAGCTGAAGTGCTCTTGGGCCAAGTGTGTGAAGATGCCAATTTGAGACTGATCGCCAGGGTACGTGGGTGGGTGAGTAGGTGGGTGGGTGGGTGAGTAGGTGGGTGTGTGTGATTGCACAAGAAACGGAAGAGAGATGGATCTAGACCCTGTATCAAAGGAGTGCTGTACGGTGGGGCAATGAGTGCCATACCCAATTTGAAAATTCAGATTTAGGAACCTGATTTAGGAATACTCAGAACTCAGTCCCCCCCCCCCTGAATAGCTATATAAATTAATTAATTACAACGAAATCTGAATAACATTAAAGTATTTTTTCCCATTATTAATGCCCTCATAAATTATTTTTGTAATACTGATCGCTTCCTTGGACGTATCAAAATGTAAATAAAATCAATTCTAATATCCATGACATACATAATCAACACTAAAACCCTTGTCAAAATTCTTCCGTTGAAAATCTGTTTCTGACCACTTGTTTAAGTCCTTAAAGTAAGAAATTCAATTATCCATTTAAATTTTGCATTAGATTTTGATTTCCCACAGCTCAAAAAAGTCAAAGACAGTCCTAAGATTTTTGGTAATTACAAAAATTAAACCAATGGATTATCATGGACCTACTACCCATGATGATACACACATTTCCCCCATACACTGTCCGAATCTGCTATGGAGTATGGGGGGGGGGGTAGCTCCTCAGTAACATCCCCGTTTCCCACCCTCCTGTGCAAAAGAGCTAAGCCAATCTGAGGTCATAGGTCACAGAGCCGGCCCAAGGAGGACGGCGAGATGAAGTGTCGAATGATGTCTCCCAACTCATCTGTCTGACCTACGAGTCCGACCTCCGAATTCCTTCTGAATTGAAACTTGTTACCAGACGTTAAAAGAAAAAGTTGTGGTAAAGACTGAAGGTGAGAAATAAATCGTGAGCCTTTTCATTTTTTTTAAAGTCAGTTTGGAAAAAAGTCACAATGGAAATATCCCCTGATAACGATTGCTATTCAAATACCTTCATATACAAAATATTACATGAATTAGCTAGCTAAAGTATTTGGCCCAAACAGTCATGCCACGTGTGCATGTGTGGTCCCATATACATACTTTTATGTGCGTGCATATAAACCATGATTTAGGCAATATCTTATCGATTTTGGTGATTCCTAAGCCTCACGGTATAATCAATAGTTTCCAGACAGTTTATATAACAATCGCATTCCATGACCAGAACTCGATTTCATCTTTAAACCACTCTTCTAAATTTCAGTAAAACAACAAGCATGTTGACAAGGGCGTTTTCATACCATGTTTAAAGGTTTACAACATCATCCGTTCGGGTTCATCTAATCACAAGGCTTGTTCCTTTCTTGCTGTCCCTCTCATACTTAATCCAAATATATACTTTGTTATTAATTTTTCTTGTGAATTTTACCCTTTGTATCATGTTGATTTATAAATGTTTGCATGTTTTTTTCTGGATTTTTATGAGCAAATAAATTGAAATTGAGCCCTTGCTTACATCACCCACACCAACATGTTTACATGTGCGGGACTAGAAGCTGTGAGAAAATTAATGATTTTTGAAAAAGGAATCACATGAATTAGCAACGAGAACTTAATTAGTTTTTCCACATGACCCAAAATGGCATAATTATTAGAATAATTAGCCTGTGTTAAACAAGTTATCCTACAACATTTACTACCATTAATGTTTGTAGCTAAATACAAAAATGCACGGAATGCACGTCCTAAAAGGTGAATTTTTTTTAACTGAAATTTTTAACGAGAACATGATTTTACATATCATCCTATTACCATGTTACTAAAGAGTTCTTTGGCGCTCTTTGAAGAATTAGAGAACGGTTGTTTAAAGGCCGTCTGTACTAGAAATTAGACCACCATGGAGGTCACTGACATGTGGCTATCTCATCAACTCAGCTCTCAATTAACATAAGAAAAAGAGGATCATGGGGACCATGGTCACCGATTTATAGGCATTATTTTCTATATAGAGGGAGCAAGTAGCTACAAGTAGTACAGTGGGGCTTTAAGAGGGCGGCTTTCTTAAAAGCTTTCCGGACACACGAGGGTAGAAAGTAAAGATAGGGTAGTAGAAGCCCCTAGCCATGCCTTCAGGGTGGTGATTATTGACATATTTACTATGTCTAGGGTCCAGTCTTCTGTTGTTTTAAGGGATCACAATGTTTTTGTTTCGTCTAACAAAACCTGTTAATTGGCCACCTTGACACGCGTCCCTCGGCTTTAAGTAAGAGCAAAACAGTTTATGATTGATATTACCTCTGACATTCCGTAGAATGGGGAGGAATGGGGAGGAATGGGGAAAAATAAGGAAATACGGTGTCGTGCTAAACACTGCATTATTAGGAATACATTATTAATTAGCATCTTTTCATGATATGAAAACACCAATATCTAATCCTGACTACCAACAACATTTCAGTCTGTGTATCGTACCAGCATTAAAACCAGTGAACAAAAAACTTAAAATAAAGAATACGTACTTGCTACCATTATGGGTATAAAATATACATGTTTTTAGAACGGTGGAAATACAGGTGCACATGGAAAACTCTCAATGGCTATAACTTGTATTGCATCAGATAGATATAACGTTATCCATTCCAAGTAATATTTGGTATAAATGCATGATTTAGACCCTTGAAAGTACCAAATACCACCACCCACATGTAAATGTAGAACACGAATACATTAATTTTGATCCTGCCCTGTGGATTGGCTTATTGGTTTGACTTCTGAGCTATTCACCCAGATTAAGAAAACATGTTCTTTTGGAAAGTGATTTGGTCGGAAGTTTTCCTTGACGATGGAGCCGTGAGCTCTCGATTTGTTTTGCCTTTGACTTTGTCATCTTTGCTTCAGCAAAAGTTTGGAAGAACATAAGACGCAAAAACCCTGAAGCCCTCCGGGTGCGTATAATGCATCTTATACCAACTCAGGCACGTACATGTAACTCCAAGACACTAGGGGAGAAATTGAATGGATTCATGCAGAGGCCGTATTTGAAGAATACTCTTTTCTCTTCTTTTGAGAAGAAAAAATTGCTCTAGCTTTTACAGTGAAAGGTAAAATTTAATTCTCTTTTGGACCGCGTGGAGCGAGGCCACCGTAATCCGTAACCCCTCGTTCACGCTGTGCTTGTACACTATAGCAAGCGTACTCTACCTATACCACCGCTCAACAAGTAGCACTAGCAGGGCGTGTCAATGGACCATACCATTCATACAGCGGGGAGATCCAAACTTTTTAACGTGCAGTCCTTCCGAAGCGGTGTGCGGAATTCTGCCTTTTCTTCAAGTAAACATTTATTAGACATATCCCGATATTCTTGCTGCCCATAAGATATAAATACATGCCTACTTTTTAAAACTTTTGGGGCGGACATGAGCAAAACTGCCCGTCGCGCAGTTCATGGCTAAATCAACACACCTTCCACTGGAGTGGAAGTATCCCGCGTGCTCAGTGGGTCTGATAGGCAAACTATTCTTCAGAAACCGCAAAGAAAAGAAGCAGTCTTTTGAGCATTGCCAAAAAGTATAATAGAGCTGGGAAATAGAAAACAACATCGCTTTTCATTCTGTATGCACAACCCAAGGCTAAATATGGACGCCATTATGCCGCTTTACGGTAGTTGAGGTTGAAATCCAATGACAAATCGTAATGATATCGACGTCCTTTAATTTCAATACGTATAACTAAAACCATGGACCTACTATGCAATAACCCACTTTCTGATCGCAGTATAGTACAAAGATTTACATATTCATCAGCGTTGGCTAGCTCCCTCCCCCTCCCTGAAGTGTTCCCGAGAAAGTTGTTCAACATATTGAATACGTGTGGCGGATAATTCAAAGCATAACCTCCAAGGTTCTTTTCAAGTCACAAAAAAGTTACATCAAACTTTATCAAAATATTTAGAAAGTTTGGTGGACAAAATGGTTACATACCGTAGCGAACGGAAGATGTTAAAGATCCCCGGCAGCACTGCATAATGGTCTCCAAAATTGTGTCATCGGGAAACTGACTCTGCGTTCTCCCACTCATTTTTACCTAGATGGGCCAGTCTTAACCATTCCTATATGATCCACGCTAAGCCGCAACATTCCTACCAACTACTGGACTATACACCGCCCCGGCCCTTATTATACAATGCCCGCATTTTCATTTCTATCCAAATCGACTCTTTTTTTGGTTGTGTGAAGCGAAGCGAGCCTTGTGAAGCACGTCGTGAATTGGATGGTTGATCATGTCTATTCTAATGCGGCTCTTAGTTCAGACCCACCATGCAAAGGATTTGCAATCTTAGTTATTTAACTCCAACAACCCCACCCATCCCCCCTCTATACATCTTATAAGCCATTGTGGTCAAGCTATTCAGACCCCAATAATCCCCAGCTAAATTATGCTTAGGAATGGTGATGAAAATGGGATATTATTTACCTCCTCTTGCGCTCAGTCCAGCGTCGAGTCCAGCGCCCACGCCCACTCCAGCTCCAGCACCAGCCGCAGCTGATGCGTCGATATCCATGTCGACGTTGGGCTTCTCGGCTTCCACACTGACATTCGCGCCCGCTTCGGCTCCTCGTCCTGCTCGTCGCTTACTTCGTCGTTCCCGGCCGGACCGACGAAATGAGTTACGGAGGTTGAAACTCAGCCGTCTCTTCTTCTTGACAGGCTCCCCCGCCGGCACATCGGCAGACGCATCGGCAGACGCCGATGCCTCGACTGAAAAACTTGCCGAGGCTTTATTCCCCATGCTGGTCGGTCGAGTAGTCCAAACTTACAGCATGTATAGTTAGTCGAGTTACTCGTAGGGTATATCCCACGACGATGCTGGTTCAGTTAGTGTCCAAGCACTGCGTGAAGTCTCGAATAGGTCGATGAAGGTTGACTGGTTCGAGTGCGATCAGGACTGGTGGACGACACTGTGATTTTACAGCCCTTGAAGACCTGTAGGTTTTCAATGTAGAGAAGAAAAGAAGATAAGATTGAATGCGGGGGTGTGCAAGGAGGGGCTCTGCTCATACCCACTGAGCACAAGTCTGTACGCGCAGACAATACCACGGTACAAACTCGTTTTCGAGGGGGCTTTTTGACAATGCACATTCAATAGAAAATGATTGGTGCGAAGCGGACGACCTCGCTATATAGTCAACTGCTATTCAAAAGCGAGGGTAATAAAAAGCTGCAGTCCTTTAAACCAAAATGAGATTAAAATGTGTTAAATGACTACAGTCTACACCCAGGATTCATCATATTTTTCATGCATTCCCATCACAATCATAATACATTTTGCAACATTCTGCTAAATGTCGGCAAAGACTGCACAGATGATAGATAAAGAGTAGCTGCAAGGACTTACATTCGGCAAAATCATTCAAAAGATCACAATAACTCTCATTCGACGTCCATCAAACCCACATCAACACCGAGAGCGATCACAAACGAGAGACATCCTCCATTGACCGACATCCACATGGAACATCCCGACACATTATCCCCTGCACACGCGTGCTAACCTATCTCTGCAGTGCCTTGCCGTACACTCCGCACGTCCAAAGAACTTCCTTATGTACTAAACCCTACACCAAATCATAGACTATGACCAAATCAAACACCATCCAACACGAATGAAAGAGAGAGACAGAGAGCACAGGGCCAAACTATTAAAAGAGAGAAAAGCTGTGATGACTTGCCTTTGTTTGCACAAAAGAACAAAAGCACCTCGTCGTTGTGGACATATGGGACTACACGTCAGACTAGACATCAATGACACAAGGGTTTACAATAAAGAAAGAAGGCCAAGAAACTGGCAGACAAACTTGTAACCCTGCACACAAGCTATTCAACATCCTACAGGTTCTATTATTACCAGAAAACATTCGGATAATAGACAGCTTGACATGTATAAACATTTAGTCCACAGATTTATAATTTAGGCTATTTAAGTATGTTAATAGTACCATCAGCTTCACTTATTCTAAGAGTCTTTAGGGCCAAAGCTCAGAATAATTCGACTTAATCAAAATGACTCGATTTTATCACAACGATGTTGGAAATGAGCGTTGTGGGAAATGGTTTGAAGGAGGGGTTTCGTACAAGTACAACTGTAAATCATCACACTACGCTATTGTTGAACTCAAATACCAGGTCATATGGTTTTGTGATGAGAAGAGGGGAGAGAGAAATCTGACCAAAACGCCAATCTCTCAATGTATACAGCATACGGCAATGACCTAGCTGCATGGAACTATTCATCGATTCGTCACCATGACAACGAGTGGAACCCGAGTAAGGCGTGGGAGCGCAACAGGGAGAGACGCAGAGAGCGAGAGAGAGAGAGAGAGAGAGAGAGACTGGGAGCACCAATATTTGGGTAGAGCATTTTTTCAACACGTTGGTAGTTCAAAAATAACATAAATGTAAGTAAGTAGATATATATAAATCTATTGTCATATCGGGAAATTCGTTTTTCACTGGTTGGTCCAAGTAATACCATTATGAACATACACATATAAATGAGTGTTGGTTGCAATGATGGAAACAAGATATTTCCCTAAACTGAACCCTTTAATCATTTGATGATAATAATACGATGATCCCAAACTGCCTCGGAAGTATAATGTTCCAAAATTGGTAACCACAACAAACGAGCACGCAGGAAGGAAGTGGCTTAAACTAGCTCCAATCCTTGTAATGATTTACAAATCTTTAATAAATCGAATCAATATTAATACTTTTATACCGGTGGGGATTAATGATAAAGTAGATACATGTACATCCCTAAACCTCAGTCACACTGCCAGAGTAACTCCACATCGACTCTAAACCGATACATTTTGGGCCATAGTGAGTAATGCAATCGTTATTCGTGATGCTGCCATTTGTAGCATGTCTGGTTGACGTGACTGACGTAATAGTTTTAACGTGTTCTTCAGTGTGACACCACTGGCCCCACGATATACAAGAACATAATATGGATACCAACCGAGCAAACATCGTAAAATACAAAATAAATATTTACTAAAGTCTAAGAACTCAGTAATACAGTGCTTGTTTAATCCACATGGCTGTACAGCGTTGACTGCACATCTTCCCCTAGCTTGCATCTCATATTGCTCTAAGTAAGCAGGCCATTCCAACTCCCTCAAGTAATTTTACAACTCGTATAAAAATATAGGGCCTATTTTGTTTAACAATTCTATCACGATATGTTATGGGTTTGAATAACCTGTTTACTATGCGAAAATGTGATTATGGCGGTCAAAAAGTATCCGTGCATGTAAAAGAGCAGCGAAAAGGGGTCTTTTGGATAATCAGACATGCTGTACACAGCACTAGCGGCAAATTTGCACGTGTGAATCGCATCAATCGCTGGCTTATTTTTTTTTTTGAAAATGGTTTTTTTTGTTGTTGATCCCTCTGCGGAGCACCTCGCATTAGCCTGCAATGGCAGGGAAAATTGTCAGAAAGGGGAACAGAGCATGGGCAAACACTCAGGGTCAGAGGTCATTTAGTTTGTTCGCGTTATGTCGATGTTTGATCACGAACATGGGATTGGTTTGTTGGAAGATTTGCAGCCGAATGAGCCGTGACACTGAACTGAAATTGAGATGGAAATGTGATTTTAACCCGTGTGATGATATTTCACTCGCGAGGTACTTCTTAATAGTCACAATTTTGTTGGTGAAAGATGAGAGAGTGGTAGAGTATTGGGTACAGGTCGGGCTGTGGATCAAATGTACATTCGATCAATAGCTAGTAGCTACAAAAACAGATTTGTAAAAGTTATGAAAATAGTATTGCCTAATGGACATAAGTCCAGGGGTACAAAGGGTTCGACGCTTACAGAATGCACCCTTACAGATGCATGTTTGTACCCCATCCCACCGCCGGTCCACTCTAGCACCCTAATGAGTTGGAATTCAGCAACATTTAAATGTTCATCTTCAAGGAGTCAACGATTCAAAACTAATCCTTCTAAAGTTTTCAATAATTATAGAGGTGCTGCTGCTGTGTAGTTTAGGATGTAAATTTAAACCCTTCTAAACGTGTAAGATTAAAACAGAGATTAAAAGTTCTGTGAAAGAGGACAGGATCTTTACTTCTACAGATTGATACGCAACAATATATCGAGATGTGCAGTTCTATACTAAGCATTAGTAATGGCTAACATACCAAAATATGGAAAGGAAATATACCCCTGGAGGAAGGGAAATAAATTACAGAAGAGGAGGAAGAGGAGAAGATACCGATCTTTGAGAAATAAGAAATCCATCTCCCGAGCTGTTCGTAAATGGTACATCAATTCCTCTTGGCCATGTTCTTCTCCTCCACGTTGCATATTACGTTCAGAAAAAGCTACATCCATTCACGTAATTTGTTCGCATGGAGATAGAAGCCGCCCACTTTACTGTCTCAAACCAAATCATTCATGTCACAAGAGAGCGATTTGTCAGTAAGCCAGCCTTAATCGGAGAGACGTGCCGATTTGACTAACGTCCACCGATGGAAAATGACAAGAATAGAATAGCCATTTTCAAACCCAACATTCACATTTGTTCGTTTAGAGATCATAGAAAAAAATGGGAAGCTTATCCAATGAGTTTAAAACTTTATAATCGGTTTAAAGTCCCTAAAATCCCAAAATATAAAACACAAATCTAAAGATGGGTTCGGGTGTGTTCTCTCACATCACAATGCAAAATATACGGCTGTCACAAGTTCTGACAATTCGAGCCCAACTTTCGGATTACTCGTCGATTTCTTTGAGAAGGGAACAAGTCGAGAAGCCACAAATAAAATTTGACTAAATAAAACAAATCTAAAAAGTAGTGATGTGCACATACGTCAATTTATAAAAATTGAAGTGAAAAATCTAAAAAACTTGTCTACATTTAAAATCGAAGAGAACGGATACAATCGTATTCCGTAGTGGTGTCTACACGATAATACCAGTACTTCAACTTCTCAGTCTCGCCCACATCGTAGGTCTATAAAAGATATTCATGTTATGTAGGTGGTCCTCTTGAATATCCTGTGTAAATAGGTTGTGGCATAAAAAACATGGTCTTTGTCGGCCACGGTGTTTATTTCATTTTTGATCCTCAAATATTTGATTTCATAAGAATTTGGTTCGGAGAGTTGGGTGAGGAGGTTAGTTTACTTTATAGGTTCCATTTCCTGTCACGAGGCATTAATATTTGCAAACTGTTTCCTCTATAATGGCGTGGGCGAGTTAATCACTCAAATTATTATTATCATTTTTTTGGTATTGCAGGAGAAGCATACTCCATCTTGAAATTGTTCTAGATGAAGGTAAAAGCTAACTAGGTGCTTTAACGTTTATTTCTTCTCGTCAAACAATCTTAAAACAAGACAAACTGTTGATTTTTCCTAACGCATTACAATAAGACCATGTCCCCTTTTCTGCCATTTATCACTAATAAACAGATGAGTTTTCCAAAGAGACAGTAAAAATGAGTTTTCAAATATACTTTGAAAGTGGACAAACGTATTTCCTTTGAATTAAACGTTACTTTGATTTTTTTCTCTATTTTGTTGTCGTTAATACAGTTAAGTGTAAATTGCTCTACTTTCTACGATGGGCGTGGTGTTTCATTTCGAATCATGGCTACTATTTTAAAACAACTTGAAAATGAAAGTTTCTCATAGGGTCACCGAAACAATGTCAGGCTCTCATGTGTCTGTTCCCCAAGCTCACTCCTGCACATAACATGGGCTGATGTTTTCCATGTTTCCTCTCCACCCCCCCCCCATGTAATAAAAAATGAAATATGATACGATAGGAGGGTATGACGCACCATGTCAGAGCGTTCAGGAGTTGGAGACAAAACAAGACTTCGTAAATCAAAACATGACTCCAGCTCCCCAAGACATGCACGCAGAGTTGCCTATTCTTTTCAAAGATAAAATGGGGTTCCGTTCAT